GACCTATAGTTGTATTTTTCACAGAGCTCTGCTTCTCTATTTTTCACAGCTGTTTCTGTTTATGTCTAATAAATGTATATAAATTTCCACTTGATAATTTGTATCTACGAGACCCTTCAACTATTATTGAATCGAGCATGATGCCAACAAAATCTTCAGTTGATATTTAATTATGAGTACCATAATGGAAAACTAGTCGGCTATCGGTACGCAAGAATGTTCATCACTTTGTGACTAGCTCATTCATGGCTTTTGTCTATTTGCCAAGTCTTACCTTTGCAATAATTTGTGGCTAAGCTCGACTAGGGCTCGTTAAGTACTATTTATTATATAAAGTATAGTGCTTTATAGAGATTTCGAGCACTGATAAAAGTGATAATCTCACATGTGAGATTATTCATGATAATAGATAGCTTAAGATCTACGACGTCGACGGCAGCTAGGACGTCAGGGCTATGCAGAGGACTGGGACTAGGATATTGTTCTAATGTAGTCCCAGTCCTCTGCTTAGCCCTGACGTCCTAGCTGACGTCGACGTCGTAGATCTTAAGCTATCTAATCTCACATGTGAAAATGCTTTTCAAAGACTGTCCTTTATATAATAAACAGAAAAATACATGGGTGCTTGGGGATACCAGATTTATTTCTCATGTTGAACATGATATCTCACTCGTTCGCTGCGCTCACTCGTGAGATATCATGTCCAACACTCGAAATAAATCTGGTATTTCCAAGCACGCATGTATTATTCTCTATTTAAAACACAAATAGGAGTGCTTTATCAGATATAAAACACAAGAGCGGAGCTTGATTGTTTTACATCCGATAAAGCATGAGCTGCGAATGTTTTAAATGGCTTAAAAACCGACCCATCTGATGAGTTCGTTGGCGAAGTAATTTTAAAAATAAACGTTGTCCAAGCCGAAAAAATCAAAGCTAAAGTTTAGTAAATGAACATGATTTTTTATCACATATGAAACCACCGACACAGCAGTAATTTCTTTTTTATTTTCCTCATGAATTATTAATGCGTTTTAAAATATTATATAACTATTTAATGAAATAATTTGAACTTATTAAATATTATTGAGACGTTCTCTGAGCAAATTATGTTTAACCCATTGACTTGCATTGTGCCCTGATAACCCTACTTTATTATTTACTCTGTCTAACGACAGACGATTTTACGAGAGAGTGTTGCCGCTCAATGCATTAATGTATGTAACAATAAATAATTTTTAGTATTTGTAACGTGTTATTTATTTATATATTTAATATTCGCCCAAATCATTTCATAAAATTAGCAATTAAAATAGAAAATATTTACAATAGTAGGGCTAGGAACCTTCTAGAGACCATAAGGCCTTTATTTAAGGTCTCTACAATTTAAATTAATATAATATTAAAAGTTAATACCAGTCCAATTGTTTTCAAAGAAATTACGGTGATATATTTACACTAAGGAAGCACTTTCCATAAAGATATAATAGACTATAAGTATAACAACTTTGTGCCAAGAATTCTACTTATTTTAATTTGACAGAAGAAAATATTTTTTCATTGTTATTAGCGAGTGTGCTTTTTTATAATTTGTTCTAGTACAACTTTTGTGTGGCAATAATGCGTTTCCTGTGTTATAATTATGGATTACTTTGTTAGTTAAAAATATTTATTAAAAGGTTCTGGAAGATTTTGTAAATGAAAATATCGGCACATAAATAAACTTGTTAAAAAATCATTCAATTCATACAAGTGCTTTAGTGTTTTAAGTACTATTTAAAGCACGCGTAGGAGTGTTTTATCACATATAAAACACGACGCGTAGCGGAGTATTTTATATGTGATAAAACACGACTACAAGTGCTTTAAATGGCTTAAAAAACGACTCATCTTATACGAGTTCATTGGCGAAGTAATTTTTAAAATAAACTTTGTCTAAACCGAGAAAATCAAAGCTAAAGTTTATGTAAATTAACATGATTTTTTATCACATATAAAACCACGACACGCTTATGATTTTTCTTTGTGTTTTTTTAAAGTCATTAAAACAGCATTTGAAGTACTATTTAAAGCACGCGTAGGAGTGTTTTATCCAATATAAAGATACGAGGCAAAGTCGAGTATCTTTATGTCTGATAAAACACGCACTGCGAATGTTTTAAATTGCTTAAAAAACGATCGATCTAGTAAGTTCATTGGCGAAGTAATTTTCAAAAAATACGTTGTGTTAGTCGAGAAAATCAAAGTTAAAGTTTAGGTAAATCAAGAGAAATCTCTATCACATATAAAGATACGATGTCACGTATTTCAATGTCACGTATTTGCAATGAAAAGTGTTCAAAACCTAACTAAAATCTTTTTGGCGTTCCTCTCAAAATTACTTTGTTTTAGCTTTATTCTCTAGTTTATACAGTTAGCAACCTTTTTAAATGCATCTGCCGGTTGAGAAACATAAAATAATAGCTAAAAATTGTCAATTAAAATACAATTATCAATGATGCTTTAAAATTGATGCTATTTACAGCAATATAAGCAAAGCTTACTGAACTTCAGACATCATTTTCTCTTTGGCGTATCATCTAAAATCTCTTCATTTTAGCATTATTTTA